ATAACTTGCTGTTGGTTAAGTGAACTGTGTCGCTGCTTTAAATAAATAAATTTCATGACATCTCATCGTTCTGTTGGCGTTTCCTAGAGCGTAGCTCCATCTAGTGGATGCATTGTAGGTTGCGTCTTATAATGCGGTGCGCCCAATGTATGGAAAAAAATTACAAAATAGGCCCTTCATTGAAAGTGCGCCTCATAATCAAGTGCACCTTTTAGTGTGGAAAATACGGTAATACTCGGGGTGTAATGGAATAATTACATTTCCATTCATTTCAATTAGAAACATTAGCTCAATATTTGAACATTTCGGGTTACAGACGACTCACTGAACCAAATAAGTTCCTAACTTGAGGTTTGGCATTATTCACCCTCCGAATGGCTGGCAACCTGGCTGGCAACCTGTCCGCTGTGTTCCTTTCTTTCCTTGTCCAAAATGTGATGAGTTACTCTCTGTGGCTCACCTTAGGAAGACAAGATGGATGAGAACTTGTTGGATAAATGATTTGGAGCTTTAAATGAGAATTCCTCTGAGGTTTTATTTGTTTTGGGAAGTGCCCGCAGGCCCTGACTTCGATGCTGTTGTGGTTAGATTTAATACCCTGAAGTCAAGTCACATCTTGAGACTGAATAAAACAAAAGCTCTTTCTGTTTTGAGCCAACAACGGGGAACTAAATCTCCCTCGTTTGGGAATATGACAGCTTTGCACAGTTATTATTTGGTGGCGTGATTTGATTAATTAGCCACAATGTGCAAACACAGTCACACTGACCTGCTTGTGTTGAGAGATGACTAATTCATTTGTTACAAGCGGCCTGCTAAACTGAACCAGCAGTGCATGATTATAAATCTCTGCTTGTGACCTACAAGAAGATGAATGCACCCTATAATGGTTGAAAAAGCCTCACAGTGACAACAGTACATGTACAAGGGAGTGGCTCAGGTCCTGCAACCAAATGTCAGTTTGTTAGGTACACTTGCGAAACAAAAAGCTGTGCACACTGTATGAGTTTTTTCAAGTGTTATTTCTTAAAATTCCGACTCGGGCCGAGGCGAAGTTAAAACTAATGACCTTTTGTCTATTTCTGTATATGTGTCTGTAAGTGAGCTCTTTAGAGCTTGATTAACGTAGCGAAAAGCCTTTGTGTTTGGTGATGTCCATATGCCATGAAAAAGCCTCACAGTGACAACAGTACATGTACAACGGAGTGGCCGTATTCAAAAGATCGCCGCTCAGTTACTGCAACCAAATGTCAGTTCGTTAGGTACACTTGCGAAACAAAAAGCTGTGCACACTGTATGCGTTTTTTCCAGTGTTATTTCTTAAAATTCCGACTCGGGCCGAGGCGAAGTTAAAACTAATGACCTTTTGTCTATTTCTGTATATGTGTCTGTAAGTGAGCTCTTTAGAGCTTGATTAACGTAGCGAAAAGCCTTTGTGTTTGGTGATGTCCATATGCCACATACACACAGTTTATGAAGTCCTGCTTCCATGAATGAAAATGGTTTTTTTTTTGTATTAATATGTCCATCTGTGGGCGGCCCGGTGGCCGACAGGTTAGCGCACCAAATGTCAGTTCGTTAGGTACACTTGCGAAACAAAAAGCTGTGCACACTGTATGCGTTTTTTCCAGTGTTATTTCTTAAAATTCCGACTCGGGCTGACGCAAAGTTAAAACGAATGACCTTTTGTCTATTTCTGTATATGTGCACGTCCCAACTTTCGGAGAAAATCTACCCCTATTTTTGTACTATTTTTGGTGTTATGAAAAGTCTTGGCAGGGACTAGCGGATGTTGCGATATTGTGCTTCTTCTTGCGCTGTGTAAGAATCATTGGCAACATCCATAATACATTAAATATCGACCGATATTGATTATTAGTAGTCCAGAAGGCTGATAACCAATTATTTGGAGCCAAAGCTCATTTTCAGGTGTGGAGTTTGTATGTTCTCCCCGTGCCTGTGTGGGTTTTCTCTGGGTACTCAGGTTTCCTCCCACATTCCCAAAACATGCATGGACAGTTAATGGAACACTCTAAATTGTCCCTAGGTGTGATTGTGAATGTGAATGGTCGATTGTCTCTGTGTGCCGTGCGATCGACTGGCAACCGGTTCAGGGTGCACCCCGCCGACTGCCCGGAGAAAGCTGGGATAGGCTGCAGCACGCCCAGCAACCCTTGTGAGGATAAGCGGATCAGAAAATGGATGGATGGATGTGCACCTGTTTTTTTTTGGGGGGGGGTCGTCTTCTTTTTTAGAAGTTGACGCAAATGCCTTACCTCCACCCTTGGTCGTCATGGTAACTAAATCTGTACTCTCTATTGACCGAGCAGTATGATGTACAGCTGCTTACTTGCACAAGAAAGGGCCACCCTCCTCGAGCTTTTTAAGAGAGCCGAAATTGCTTTAAATCAAAAGGAAAAAGAAAAATATGTCCTTTCAAGTCCGACTTGAATATATAAATGACACTTGATTTTCTGTGAGCATACTGCTTCCTGTCAACGAAGATCATTGTTGTGGTACTCTCACTTTGTAGTGCCACCCCTGCCTCTTTTGAAACCACTTTTCCCTGCTTCGATTTAAAAAAAAAAAAAACGAATCCAAACAAATCTCTTGAGGATTCACCAACAGGTTGCATCAAGGCTACCAAAATGGCTCTTGACTGGACTCATTGGCTGCTTTAATCTCTTGAGGATATACCAACAGGTTGCATCAAGGCCACCAAAATGGCTCTTGACTGGACTTATTGGCTGCTTTCCTGATTTCATCCCCAAAATGGTTGCCAAGTCGCAGATACTCTGCATTATTGATGTCTGGCAGCGAGCCGAAGCTGGCCATCCACAGCTCGTACGCTCTTTAGCTTCCTGCAGCGCCGCGTCTGTTTAATGAGGCATGTCATTGCAAAGAAATCCCACCAATTGACCTCAGTGTTTGGTTGTGGCGCGACGCCGTCTTGCAACCTTGAGGTCACCTTTGTCTCCCCCAAACTGAGTAGTGCTAGAGCATGAAATTGCTTGAACCCTCTCAGCGACCCATAAAAGTCGAGATTGCATCCTGTGGTTAAAGTTTGCTGTTGTTGTTCTCCTCGCTGTTGTTATTTGTCACATGGAAATGGCGCACCATTGATTTCCATCTCCATACGTTTTAAAACCCGTTTTGGGGTCTTTTGTGTGGCAGCATTGATTAGCTGTGCGCTGCGTGTGAGCGGCAGTGTTTGGAGGCTGAGTGGCATCACTGAGCCGGGGCTCAGCAGCAGTTCTTTTCACTTTTCACTTTCCTTCGCAGCAAACAGAAGCCTGTGTGTGATTGATTATTGGGTGTTTGCAGGGGTAGCCAAGCCGCGGCTCGCGAGCCGTATGCGGCTCTTTGGCTGGTTCAATGCGGCTCCTGAGCTTTCACACAACTAGCGTCGAAAACACCTCTGCAGTGGCGCTGCCATTCAAAAAAATGGCGCTAAATACACAGAACGGAAGACTTTTTCAATGGAGGAGCTCCCTCTTTTCTCTCCTTAGTTCAATTTAATGAGCTAGAAATCCCCACGTGTTTTATTTCTATGAAATAGTTTGTTTTCCAACCAATCAGATGACTGAATCACTGCTCATGCGCAAACGACGGTGCTAAGCGCTAAGCTAGCTAGTCAGCGAATTACCTCTGAATTTAAGAGCCTAATACGTCGATCGCAATCGACCGGGAGCCAGCTGACTTGTCCCAAGTCGACCGCAAGGGGTGGGAGGAGGAAATGGGTGGGAGAAAAAAAGATTTGTGTGTTTGTGTCTCTAGCTAACGTTCATGTTCGGGCCGTAACGGCTGTTGCTCATAGTGGTGTGCGTGCATATGTGCGCGAGTACATGATTGGGTACCCGCGCGCGCGCGTGTGTGTGTGTGTGTGTGTGTGTGTGTGTGTGTGTGTGTGTGTGTGTGTGTGTGTGTGTGTGTGTGTGTAAAACTGGAGCAGGGTGACATTTAAATAGCAGGGATGCAGTTGGGGTGTGGTCCACACTGGCACAAATATTTCATTTATTTTTATACCACGTTGATAGCATGCAAAGTATGTAAAGTGGAATCTGAGACTGAACACAGCCAATTTTTCCCAGAGGAAATTATTGCCACGCATACCCTTTATTAACTGTGTGGGCAACGTTATCAAGGAGAGAGATGCATCTTTTTGACCGTTTAAATCAGGTCCAAGGTGACTTAATAAAACGCCTAACATTCTTCCGTCAAAGTACAAAAACAATAAAACTTCATAGTAAAATTAACCCCCATTAATCACATTCTTGTTCAAATGGATCGTTTTTGTGGGGTGGAAGCGTTGCACTGACCACCAAGCATGTGATGAAGGCTCCTCAGTGTTGTCAACTTTTTCGACCCATCTAGCAACATTGTGTTCAAGCAACAAACCTTTATGTACTGCACTAAACACATGGAGTATATAACTATTTTGCTCTGCCCCCAACTTATTTGGGCTGTTATTCAAATGTTGACCACTAGATGGCGGCTCACTTAAGTTTAACACCAAATTTCAAAGAAGAGCGCAAATAGGAAGTATTCAAGCTCAACGTTGTTTCTGTTGAAAATGACCCAATGTAGAAATCCTCTTTAATCCTGCTTTTTACTCATTTTCAGTAAAAGGGAAAATATTGGTTGCGATTGGAGATTCATTTTACAACATTCATACATGTACATATTTGTACTTCATTATTGATGTATGTTGTGAATAGATTACATTTGTTAGTAATTTGTTTACATTAATGCAGTTTGTGCAAGATTTTGTCATAGTATTTTTGCATGTGTTTCTCTTTTAATCGTGTGTTTAAAGTACGATAAATATAAAAACATTTTAAAGGAGGATTTAATTCTGTATTACAGATTTCCCTGCTTGTGGGCGTGGGCGGGAACGTAACACTCCCGTAAACCCCCCCCCCCCCACACACACACACACACACACACACACACACACACACACTCTCTGAGCTCTGTTTCTGCAAGTAAAGCGTTCCCATGCCATAATCACACTTTTTTAAAGCAATATTTTTATTTTTTCCAGGTTTGGACAAAACACTGTACACACTTTCTATAATACCAAACGCTTTGTGAAAGCTTTGGAGTTGCTGAAATTATACTCGAGTATAGAGCAAGTCCACTCTTATCCATAGCTTGTTCCATAATGAGAGATGAACTTTTCAAGATGCATAGTAGCCCTACAGTGTATGGACAAGTATTGCTACGATATCTATTTTAAAGCGCACATTTTGATGCAGCCGTTACACTGGATTATCTTGGGATGTGCAAAATACAAACCTGCAACTATCACTCTAAAGCAGTGACAGCAGAAGCTTATTTCCGTGTCTGAGGGCCCAACTGTCGGGAATGATAGCTTCATCCCTGCAGGCCTCCCTTAAGGCTCCCAATGCTGCCTAATTGTGATTTAAGATACTCCGCAAATGTGACTTGTAATGGAGTGAGGAGGTGCGATATTGTCCCAGGAGGAAGATCGGAGAAAGTGAGATTACACAGCTTTTTATCTGGCAGGAAAACAGTTGGTACTCGTCGTGCTCTCCACATCTTTCAGGTTATCTTCTCACGGCTGGAGGCCGTTGTCTGTCATCCTTTTAATTGAACAGGTTTAAATTTCACGCTTTACCCTCAAATCCTGTGCCTACTCAAATGTCTCATCCTGCGAGGACTTTGGAAGTTCACAAGGAACAAATCAAGCATTTGTGTCTGAAGGGGACACATTTATATGCATGTTGGCTTCGTACAAGAACAACAAAAAAATAAAATAAAAAATCGAAATAGTCCAAGTGATGCTTGTTGAAAGGGCTCAGCAATGTGTTGATGTCTCCATCAACACTCCTGAAACAATAATAAGGGGGCCCTTCACTGGGTGTGAACCTTACGAGGCACCAGCGAGCGTCGTACCGGGTGTGCGACCCGGTATGGGGGGCAAGTCCCTGACGAGGGCCGATTGCCCAGCAGGAGGAGGACCCATTGCGGCACTTTTATGCAAGAATAATAAATTTAAAAAGTTTTTTTTCTCTGAATTTCAACATGTAACTAGCACTTAACACAACTTACCGTAATTTCCGGACTATAAGCCGCGACTTTTGTCACACGCTTTCAACTCTGCGGCTTATTTCATGAAGCAGCTTATATAAAGACTTTTCTAACAGCCGCCTGTGTACCGTCTTTCTTTGTAAATATCTCATGTTAGAGTATGGGCACCTGCGGCTTATACACAGGTGCGGCTTATGTGTGTACAAAATATTTTTTTCCTTTAAAAATGTAGTGGTGCGGCTTATAATCAGGTGCGGTCTATAGTCCAGAAATTACGGTATATCATGCAAATGTGGATCTCATGACCTTTCACCCCAATAAATGGCTTCATATATTTTAGTCTCACTCAAAATCAGTAATATGTGATTCTTTTTTTTCAAGATCCTCTGCCCATGTAGGTACCAACATTGCTATGCTGATTTGAATTTGAATAATTGTTCAGCTCAATTGGGCCACGCCTTCCATCCACCATCTTCCCGACTTTTATGGCCGAAAACAAGGGAAAACGGAACTGTCGTCACATTTAAGCAGATTAGAGAGCAGATGACTTAGCCAACATTTGGGACCAATATAACCAGGAGATAAACATCTATTAAGGCAGTTAAAAGGACATCCAAGGCAGTCGGCGAAGAGTCTCCCCACCCCCACCTCAGGACACTAGTGCAGCATCCGCCACAGGACCTCATGCTCGGCGTTGCCATGGCTGCAAAGGTGGAGAGGGCGAGGCTGAAAGCTGGCAGTGCGCACACACACACACACACACACACACACACACACACACACACACACACACACACACACCCTGGTGGTTCTGGCTGCCATCTGGAAGTGACGCAGCCCTCGCGTTGCAGGCCGCCTGCCGTCTGCTTGTGTCCACTATGACGAGCCTGATGGGATTTTTATAAGAAAAATGATCAATCTGACTGCTGGTGACAGCGCTTGCGTGTCACGGTGGACAGAATTAGTCGGTATCGACCCATCTCCTTTCCCCTCTTCCCTCGGGGCGTAGCAACAGG